CATTTTCCAAGAGAAAACCAGTAAAAATGGTCACGAGCACAGGTCATGGGAAGGCAAGTCAGACTCAGAGAGCTGCTTTGTGCCCGGGAAGCAAGTAGGAGACACTTAGGTTGGAGTCTGAGGGTGACACGTCACACATCCTCTCCTGCATAAAGACCATCCAGGGTGGATATTTACATTCTCTAGCTAGGACCTGGGTACCATCTTTCTTGTCCAATATAGAAGTAGCTCCGCCCAGCCACTGTTGTCTAACTTCCCCTTCCTGGGCTCCATAATGACAATTCTGCCTGTCTTTAGCCAGAAGGAAGCACGGTGAAAGATTCATGCAAATCATTAAGGCACTGGAGCTCATCTATTGCTCACCAATGTGATGTTCATCTCTATGACATGCCAGGCCACAGTGATCATCCCGAGACAACCCAGGCTCCCTCTGGTCCTTGGACATGAGCCCCCTTTTCAAGTCTTTCGGTCTATTCTTCATTGTAATGCTCTGGCAATCACAGGGACCTTGGACAAAGGAGTTGCAGGCCATAGCTAAGAGCTATACAGGTGCTTTCCCCGCCTCTCACCTGCCAAGATGGTTACTTGCAGAGAAAACAGCACGGAGCTAACCCTGTGGGTCTGCAACTGGGCTCTTCTTAGTTTGTCAGAGGTAGACTTTTGCAGGCCAAATTCCTGAATTCTGAATTCTGCTAACTCAAATGCTAAGGAACAGGACACATGTCCATGGACACAAAGAAAGGATGCCCTTCCCCTCCTTCAAATCTCATGACACGCCAATGAATTGATCCCATGAAAGACCAGTCACTTCACAAACCTAGCAGGTAATGTCCCCTGGACATTCCTTCCCCCAATAGCAGTGGCACTTCTCCCTCGAAAGAGCAAAGACTTGCCCCAGGATTTACAATAAAGGCAAGCAGCTCTGCCCCAGACTCAGGAATTGTTGTGCTAGGTGGAGTTTGGTTTTATAACTAATTTTTCTTTAGCAACTTGTAGGCAGAATTCTAAGATGACCCTTACAATCCCTGCCTTCTTGTTCACAGCCTACATTATACTCGCTTCTTCTTGGGTGTGATTTGCCTCTAACAGAATATGGCAAAGATAAAGGAATTTTGCAGATGTAATAAAGATGCTAAGTTAGTTGATTTTTCATTAGATCAAAGGGATAAAATCCATGTCTAAGAAGGCCTTAGTCAGATGAAAACCTTTAAAATGAAACGAACCCTTCCTGCAGTTATAGATCTTTTGTTGAACTGACAAATTAAGAAGTAGGGCTGAATGGGCCTGAGATATAGCTCAGTGGCACAAGTGCCTGTCTGGCAAGTACAAGGTCCTGAGTTCAATTCCCAGTACCAAAAAAGAAAAAAAAAAAGAAAAAGAAGTAGGGCTGAGGAAGCCTACTCGACAAATATCTTCAGATGGTTTCCCGGAACTGTGGTGACATCTAGGGCCTGAGAAAAGCTTCTAGTCAACAACTAAGAAAATGTTGGGCGTACCAGCCACACAACCACAAGGAAATCAGTTCTGCCACAACCTAAATAAGCAGGTGATACATGTGTATTGTCTTCAGTCACTATTGTAGCAATTTAAAAACTAACACATGGAATATGTTCTTCGCTCCTGATACCTTTACACACATTTTACCTTCTAGCTTCTAGTTGTCCCTCCAAATCCCATCCCAAAAATCCCAAAAATCCCATTTTAAAAAGTCTTAAAGAAATCTGTATCAGCCCTGGGCAACAAGAAAGAATATATTCATTAATCAGAAGCCTTAGGAACTTCCTAGGAGTTGAAACATACAAAGGTTACAAAAACAGCCGACAAGAGAATTCTTAATGAGAAAACTTTTTGTTGAAGATATGTTTTGATAGACTATATGGGTAAAGTGATGCTTAGAGCATAGGTCTGCAAAAAAATAAAATGTAATTTTTCCTGCATTTCAGGAAGGTAGAGGCATAATAGAGAATAATGAAGATAGGAGAGGCGTGAGAGAGAAGGGTGAGAATATCCTGCAGTAGACAGAATAAAGGCCCCAAAGATGTCCACATCGTAATCCCGTAGGCATGTCAATATGGCACCTTCCATGGCAAAAGGAACTGCATGTGATGATGTCATGGATCTCAAGATAGGGAGGTGACCCTTGGTTTGCCCTGCCCAGTGTAATCACAAGGATCCTTACCAGTGAAAGAAGGGAAAGGAGACTGAGTCAAACAGCTATTTGAAAATGTAGCCAGGTGTGGTGGCACATGCTTGTAATCCCAGCACTCAGGAGGCTGAGGCAGGAGAGGACCACTGTGAGTTTGAGTTCAGCCTGAGCTACACAGCGAGACCCTGCCTCAAGAAAAACAAAACAAACCCAAAGAAAAAGAAACAAAAATATTGTGTTGCTGGCTTGGAAGATGGAGAAAAGGCCATGAGCTAAGGGATGCAGTGGCCCATAGAAGCTGGAAAAGGCAGAGAAATGCCTTCTCCCTGCAGCATCCAGAATAACCACGGTCCTGCCAACACCTTCCTCTTAGCTCCATGAAACACATGTCAAGCTTCCGACTTCCTGAACTGGAAGATAATACACTGGTATGGTTCTGTTCCACCAAGCTTGGATACCTGACTATGAAAATGGACACACTACCTACTTGCATAACCTAAATGCTCCAAGTCCTCAGTGCGATTTTGAGAAGAAACTGTGAAGAGGAGCAGAGTTCCACATGTGGGTCAGTCAGTGCAGGTGAACAGGGACCACACCTGAGCTCACTCTGTAGCTAGCCCAGGCTGGCCTCAAACTCACAACAATCCTCCTGCCTCGGCCTCCGGGTGCTGAGATTACAAGCATGCACCACCATGCCGGGCAAGGTACACTTTTAGATACATTACCCATACTGGATTACAATAACATTTTTTCTTTTATTGCTATTGTCAGTCTTTTATTTTGTACTTTATATATCAGGCTTCACATATAAAAGAAACCGTGTAATATTTAGGCCTGTGTATCTGATTTATCTCACTTCACATTATGGTCTCAAGGTGTATCCATTTTCCTACAAATGACTCAAGTTTATTCTGCATTATAGCATAGTACTCCAATGTACATAAATACTACATTTTCTTTATCCATTCATCTGTTGATGGACATATGGGCTGTTTTCAAGATTTAGCTATTATGAATTGTGCTGCTATAAACATTGGTGTGCATACATCACTATGACATGATATCTTTAACTTCTTCAAGAAGATATCTAAAAGGGAAATACTTGGGTCAAGTGGAATTTCTGGTTTTATTTTGAGAAAGCGCCATACTGATTTCCATAGCACATGTACCAGTTTACACTCGCACCAACAATGAAGTGTTCCTTTTTCCCCACAGCTTCTCCAGGCTTTGTTACTGGTTGATTTCTTGTTGACATCCATTCTTTTTAGAGTAAGATGGAATCTCAGTGTTGTTTCAATTTGCATTTCTCAAGTGGCCAGCAAAGTTGAATGTATTTTCATTTATTTATCAGCCATTCATATTTCTTCATCTGAGAAGTATCTATACCTTTCAGAGTCCATTTTTGGAGTAAGTCTTTAAATTTGGCATACCCATCAGATTTTGATTCGACACATATATTACAGAAAATTAAAGGCAATACAGTACTTTTTTTCCTGATGAAATTCTGTTTGCAAATAGTCCATGGATTTGATCTCAAATGTCCTCCCAAGGTCTCCTGTGTCTGGAGGCGGGGTTTTTGGAAGGCAGCTGGATTATTCAGGCACTGACCTCACCCATGGGTCACTCTGAGTTCAGAACTGTGTATAGCAAGAATTTTGTTCCAGGGACAAAAATGTGACTAATATAAATATACTTAACATGTTTAAATTTAAACACAAAGAAGCCTTGAAAAGGCTCATTCTCACTTTTTCTACCTATTTATAGCCATTTTCATTCGTTTACTATTATTCTAATGTTTATATAAAACTGAATAAATATTTTCATTCACTATTTCTTACACAAAAGATAGCATATCCCATATACTATCATATGTCTTACTTTCCCCATTAAAACAAAACATCTTAGAGATCTCTCCAAATCAGCACAGAACACACGGTGGCCTGGTGTCTTAGTCCAAGGATAAGAAACCCAAGGGTCAAGCAGCTGAGGCTGTCAGCCCAGTGACAGAGCACAATAGAAAGAAGCAAGCTGGCCGGGTGTGGTGGTGCACACCTGTAATCCCAGCACTCAGGAGGCTGAGGCAGGAGGGTTGTTGCAAGTTCGAGACCAGCCAGGGCTACAAAGTGAGCTCAAGGCCAGCCTGAACTGCATAGCAAGACCCTGTCTCAAAAGGACAAAAAAAAGAAAGAAAGAAAGAAAGAAAGAAGCAAGCTGTATGTGCACCAACTGGAAAACAAAGGATCTAATAGGTAGGAAAACTCCCTTATGGCTGGACTTACCTGTGACGGCCTAGCCATCCTCCACTTGGCACACCAAGGATCTGTGAGCTTTCTCTGTGTTAAGTGGATCCCCTGGAAAGTAATTGTGTGGGAGAAACCATCTCTTTTTCTTCTCTCTGTCTCTGTTTCTGTCTCTGTCTCTCTCTCTGTACTGAGGATTGGACACAGGGTCTCACATATGCTAGGCCGCACTCTACCACTGAGCTACATACTACATCATTAGCTCTTTTTATTTTGAAACAGACTCACAAAGTTGCCCAGGCTGGTCTCAAAACTTAGGATCCTCCTGCCTCAGCCTCCCAAGTGTCTAGGATGACAGGCGTGCGCCACCACACCCAGTTAGAGGAACCAAAGCATGGCAGATGACCAAAGCACAAGAGCTCCCACTACTACCACTGGCAGTAAGAGGCTTGGCGAACACTTTCAGGGCCTGAGGTAGTGACGCAAGCTTTCAGGATAACAAAATATGAAACAAGTGGATATATGCAATAAAATACATTTATAGATTGCAAGCTGAAAACTATAATACTCTAGGCAGGAACACAAAGGACAATTAGATGGAAACATATACCAAGTTCTGGGATAGGAGTACTCTTTATTTAACACATCTCCCCCAAATAGAAGATGGGGAGCTTGACGAAGTAATTCTTTGATTTATGTATAATAAATACTTATACATAAACAAATGTGTAATAAAAGCTGAGAATACTCTGAGAATTAACATAAAGATAGTAGTAACTTACATTTAGCTGGTATTAAAAAACTACTTTAAAGTTACAGCAAGTGGTACTGGCATAGAAGTAGATCAGTATGAAAGAAAAAGCTCAGAAATCGACTTACGTATGTGATTCATAATATGATCAAATCACTAGTGGGAAACAATCAATGAATATTAATAGGACAGCTGGTTAAAACATTTAACAATGATAAAAAAAGACTCCTCTCTCCTCATCCCCACCAACCTCATTTCCATCCTAAAACAAATTTCAGACAGATTGAAGGTTTAAATGTTTAAAAAAAAAAAGAAACAAAACTATTACCTTGACATTGGAAGGTCTTTCAAAGCATGGCACCACAAGCAAAATACTAAGGAAAAAGACTGATAAATTTGTCTGTAAAAATTAAAAAATTTCTTATGGCAATATATAACACAAACAAGGTTTTAAGAAAAGCAAAGTTATCCATTCTAAAACTGACAAGCTACAAAAATTATTTACAAAACATATGGCAGATAATTAAAATTACAATGATATAAGGAGCTTTTTCAAATCAATACAAGAAAAACAGGCCAAATACAGTACTGAATTTTTTTAAAAGGCCATTCACAAAGACAGAGTTATGAATGGCCAGTCTGCATGCAAAATTGTCAGAGAAAAGCAAACAAAATATCAAAACATCATTTTTCCCCTACCAGCTTAATCAAGATGAAAAATAACAATGCCTAGTGGTACTGAAGCTTTCTTTTGTTAGAAATCCGAAGGAGTTTCTCTGTGAAATTTCTCTGGCAACATGTAGTAGGAGGTAAAGTACACAAAGTTTTCATTCCAACAACTTCACTTCTAGGAATTTAACTTCAGTGGTAATCGCATACATTCACACAGACTTGTATAAGGATAGTGAACATCTGGTAACACTTCCCATGTTACACATTTGTAACGTAGTCATTATTGACAAGGAAAACATATCCAGGAAATGTCGATGAGCAAAAACATGTTACAAAACATGTGACACATAATTTGACTCCATTTGACACCCTTTCTTTGGTACTCAAAAATTATGGCTATGGCAATACACACCACACCCATCAAAGCATTGGGTCTCTCTGCAACAACAGCACAACAGGTTTGTAAACTGATTTGCTTCATTGTATCACCGGCAGCCCACAAACCTGAGCACCAGAAAGGCCACACTGTTCTTCCCTTCTAGAAGCAGGCACTTGGCTTTAATCAACAAGTACCATAGGCAAAAGGCCCTTCAAGGCTATTAGGTTGATTGCTACAACCCGTGGTTTTCTCTCAGAAGAACCGCATAGAAAAACAGAAGGTCTAGAAAATCAGAGTGTGAGGTTAGCAATCAAAAAAGGAACACTGAGAATTTTTTACCTCCTTACAAAATCACCTTAAACGTTAACTTTATTCCAAGCTCATGTGGAATTTCAAAATAATCACTGCTGCTCTGGTTTCCAGTGTTCCAGTCTTGAGTCAGAAAACAAACTCTTACCTATTTTTCCTGATCAATCTGTATCCATTTGCTTTGCTGTTTGTGGTCCCTCATGGAAGAGATGCGGAGGGAGGGGGAACCTTACAGTGAAAAAATGGGCATAAAAGACACATGTGCTATTGTAAAGGTAATACTTTAAAATATGTAGAAAGCTGTTTGGAAATGTAAAGGCTTCACTTTGCCAGGAACCAAAAAGGCTGTCCAAAAATTAGCTCAGTAGCTAGTTCAGAAGCAAGCAAATGCTGGAAAGAAAACTAGACTTGTTGACTGAAGACTTGGCCTATAAGGCACAAAGGTGTCTGAACCAATGTCACCATTCTAAAAAGAGACTCATCACCCTGATTCTACCGGACGTATCTGTTCCGGGGATGTCATGAAAAATTGCGTGTGGACGGGCCTATTGTACGACTGAGGATATAAACAGAAACTGCGGCAGAAAAAAAAAAAAAAAAAACAGAAGATGCATCCATGTTTGAGAAACTCTTCAGTTTTTCTTTCTGATCTAGAAGGGAGCTCAGACCAGATCTAAGTGCTCACTTTTATACACTGGTCCAAAGACAGTTCATGGGGAGAAGAGCATTCCTCGATCCTCACTGTGGGATTGGGATTTATTTAGTGATTCTCACAAGCTAGCTCCATGCCTTAGTCTACAGGGCACTACCCGTACAAATGGACCCTACAGTCTCCCAGGAAGACCAATTTCTCCCCTTTAGCTAGGAATCCACGTAGAAGGGAAAAATCAGTACTATGGTAAAGCTACCAGGCAAATTTAGAGAACTTAAAGCTGTCATCATGTTTATGACAAAACTATCAAAAAAGAACTATAAGAAAATTAAGCATCCTTTTCACCAATGCTCAGAACCTGCTTCTGTTACACACTAATACTGAGCAACTCTGAATGACAATTTGGAACAGTCGCAAGAAATGATGAAGGCCATATTTTTGCTATTTTAGTAATTGTACATGAACTGTTTCTATATTTGTGCACTATGCCCAGAAGTTGCTATTTGATGTAATATTTAGTTAGTTATTTTATCCCAAAACTTTTGATAATAAGCAAGTAGGATTTCTTTCTGGGATAATTATGCTAAGTCTCCATCTAGACAACTGCTATTTTGGGGAGCAACTGCAGCCCCAAGCAGGCAACTGTATCAGTTAATTCTACAGTGGGAAATTAGGGAGATACAGAAAGAGAGGGTGTTTACAGAAGTGTTAACAAAATGGGGAGAGGGAAAATTCTCTCTTTTGTTACAGATGCCCTGAATTCCTCCTTTTTCATCCAAGGACCTACTACACTATAATAATTTGTAATGATTCCAAACTGAGTTCAAAAATTGTGGAAAAAAAACATGTGATTTTTGAATGGTTGCAGCTAGAAATATTAAAAAGCAGAAAGCTATTGGTATTAATCCATTGAGAGCCCTACTCGATAATTCACCTAAGATGAGAACAAGAAGGGCTTTAAATGTCAATCCTAAATTACAGTGTAAGGTAGTGCCTCAGGGAACAGAGGGCAACTACTCCTAGTGCTGCCTAATGCTGGTGGGGCCAGGGCCAGCAGCTGACACTGAATACACAAATGTTAAGACATCATCTCCAATTCTCTTTCCCAACTGAATGTACCACCCCACTTCTGGTACAGAACAGCTTACGACAGTTTCCACCTGCTCCTGTCTTATCCTCATCTGCTCACACGCCCGGGAGGCACCCTCTGTTTTCTGTTGCTATAACAATACCTGAGGCTGGATGACCTGTAATAGAATGAAGAGGTTTATTTTGGCTCACAGTTCTGTAGATTGAGAAGTCCAAGGGCATGGCACGGACATCTGCTCAGCTTTAGGTAAGAGCACATGCCATTTCAAGCACAGTCACACTCAGGAAACGCACTCATCTGTCCTGACAACCTTCTAATCACCTCCTAAGGGTCCTACCTCCCCAACAGCAGCACAAATGACAATCAAATTTCCACGTGAGGTTTGGTGGGGACAAATCATATCCAAACCACAGCGCTAGACCACTCAGCCTCCTCCTCCACCAACACCCCACAGTGGAAAACACACAAAATAGTTTTCTACTTTTTAAGATTTTTAGGTGCAACAATCCAGGGCCACATTCATATATGCTCCACCCTGACCCGGTGCAATATTACCACCCCTCTTTTTCTTCCTACATACTCTTTATTCTCTAGGCCTATCCTAGAGAATGGAAACAGAAGAAAGAAGCCATAAACCTCTTTTTTTTCTCCATTCATTTGTTAGTGAGCCTTGGAATTGGGCTAATTTATCCTTTTGAATGACCCCCTTCATAAAGTCAAATTCTAGCATAAACCGAAGCCTACCTCATTGCTTCCTACAGAAGAACAGGTCCGGAAGAATGGGTGCTAATTAGCACTGATGCTATAAAGGAGGACACGGAGACTACTGTGTATCAGGTGTCTAGAGGAGCTGATGCTCAGGCATCACACACACCAGACTCTCGTGATCTGTAGCCTATGGTCAATATGACATTGGACATCAAGGGTCTCAAGTTCACAGACACAGTACTGGTCCTGAGCAGGAAAGAGGTCAGTAATTCCTGAGTTTCTCCTTCTGGAAGAATCCATTGACAGCCACCATGTTGAATCCAGGAATGAGCCAGGCTGGGGATGGAGCAAGTGCCACACGCCCTCTGGATGGATGTACACAGGGCCTTTGTGTAGGCACCTGAGAAGCTGTCAGAACATCTGCTCCACAGCAGTGCAGCTTTGCCACGCACCACCATCTGCAATCTAGTCATGGGGAGGAAGGGAAGACACGTCATGAACACACTTTGCTTTTCCCACGTGCGTCTCTAAGTGTAGGTTACAGGAGGCTGGGAGGGCAAGCAGCATGAGACCAGCCACCCCGCTGTGCATGACCAGGGCAGCTATGGCTGTCCCTGTCCTTTTCTCAGGTCAGGAGTATATCTCCCTTCCTACCCTGAGTTGCAGGGCTAGCCAGGCCTTTTCTTTTGGCGGGGGGAGGAGGGGTGGTGTTGAGACAGGGTCTCATGTGCAGTTTAGGCTGACCTTGAACTGTGTAGCCCAGGTTGGCCTCAAACTCATGGTGATCCTCCTGCCTCAGCCTCCTAAGTACTGGGATTATAGGCATGCGCCACCACACCCAGTTAGCCAGGCCTTGTACCCGCTGACTGTGCTGTGCTGTGCTGTGCCAGGACAACCTCCCCTCCCACCCCTCTGACCCTCCTCATCCCCAGCTGTTTGGCTGACTCTCACCTCCTCCTCCCCTCCGTACCACTCATTTCTCAGAGACCACAGTCCCACATACCACACTGCCAAGAAGGAGAGGAATGCCAGAGCCACCACCAATGCTACAGAGCCCAGTCCAACGCCCAGCATCTGCTCCACTGTGAGGGACGAACCTGTGGGATGAAACCACACACTGAGCCCACACTGCATCATATCATGGCCCTCCCACAAAGCGCACACCCAAAGATACTCTGTCCACTTTACCCCACAGCTGCGGCCCATTTAAAGAAGAATCCCAAGAATGCCCCAGAGTTTCTTTGTAGCCCCTGAATTTGGGAAGCCCCAGGAAACCACAGTCCCATAGCATTTCTGAAAGGGAAGGTAAAACTTCAAAGTTACAAGGGACAGAAAAGCTGAACTTCTAAGCAAACAAATGCTACACAATGTATTGCTTTGTGTTGGGCCCTTCTCCCTGTCAATTTCCTGTGGTATAGACACCTGATACATTTTTTTACAGGAAGTTTCCCTTTGCCTGGAGGAAGAAGTCAGTTTGTTATCATTTGAATTTTGATTCCAAAAACTTCTGGCTAGCCCCAGTGGTCAAATATAGTAAACAAACATCTTCTGTTGAACCAAGTCACCTGTCATTTTCTCCTTATCTCAACAAAGGGCAGCACCACTCTGCTCTGCTCAGCAGGCTTTTATGAAGATAAAGTAAGAACATTGATGTAAAAGCATTCTGAAAGGTGTACATTCTACTTGGAGAGCATCGCATAGCATCTCCAGGGGGATCCCTGGTTATAAACCTGAAAACCATCCGCATTTGAGCCCCACATTTGGGCCAAGTGACTGAATCAGCTTACACACTGACTGCAGCAGAGGCTCTGTTTTAATCTGCAAGCACTTACTGAACACTTCAAGCGCCTCACAAATGTTAACTCTTTTACAAAGTTTCCTAACCACCTTTTACACTGGGTCTTACTACTATTCCCTTTTTACAGAGGGAAAACCAAGACATGAAGTGAGTAAGCACAGATCTGATCTCTACACCCGGGCTAAGAGCAGTTTGTTTCCACTGGGACTCTGCAGGTCACCTGGCACCAGCAAGAGCAGCCATGGAGCGCACCCCAACTTAAAGAGCAAAGGCAGAACCTGCTGCCTCAAAAAGGGCTATGAAGAGACAGAAAATGTGGATTACATCCCTTGACTGCTTGCAGTATTCAGAAGGGCCTTGACACTCTAAGAAGCTAGATTATAAAATGGAATGAACAGCGATGAGTAAATTAGAAGTTAGTTTCATATATATTAAAGAAACAGAGTTGCATAATACACATACGCATGAGGGGAATGACTTGAATTACCAAATAGTAAGGTATTGTACTATCAACACAGGAATGAATACTCTGGATCAAACCAGAAAGCCTAGAAACAAGCCAACTATATCAAATCACTTCAAAGCTTGAACACTCCAATCAGGCTGCGTCAGGTTGTTCATGGTTTATCTGAACACCAGCTCTTCATCGCAGTGTGACTTTGAGCAAGTAATTCTGTCCTTCGATGCCTCAGTTTCTGCACTTCAGGATGCTATAATAACATGAAAACGATCGCAACAGTACCTATCTTACAGGGTGGTTGTGACAAATTAATGAGTTAATACATGTTACAACAGTAGCTGGCATAGAGTAAGAAATAAGCAAATGTTAGCTATCTTAATGATTGTTGTTATGATTAAGCTACCATTTCACATCACTGGGAAAATGATAATTTGTAACTAGTGTGGAGAAAATTGGTTAGCCACTTAGAATAATTTTGATCACTACAGCTAATATACCAAATGAAATCCAAATGGATTAAAGGTTTAAAGTGAAACCCAAAAGAATTTGAAAATGTTAGTGAATTTGTAATTTAAAGTGAGTAAGAATTTTCTAAAGCTATTTGTTAATGCAGAAGTCTTCAGCGAGTAAGAGACTTAGCTATATTAGAAACAATATGCTTCACACATCAAAAACTACCAGAAGAAAGGTTTTAAAAGGTAAATGGCAAACTAGGTAAAATATTTGGAATAATAAGCAAGGGGTTAGCAAACAGACAGCACTTCAAGTTAGTAAGGAAAAAGACAACTCAAAAACAAAATGAGCAAACTCTATGCAAAGAATATGCAAATTTACATATAAAACATGATTGGAGAATCGATAAATCTTCCATTACTCTCCCAGAAGTAATGAAAATGTAAATTAAAACACTGAGATACCATTTTTGTACACCAAATTAGCTAAGTTTTTGCTTTTTTAAGAGAAAAGACAGCACTGGAGTTGGGGGAAGGGGCTGGTAGGCTGGGACTTTCATTCCCTGCTTGTTTCATTCAATCTATGCAGCATTCCTCTCAGCTTTTGTCATCATTTCTCCCTTTACACACTCATGATTTATATTTGTAATCTTTAATAAAAACATTGAACTGAAGATGACTGTGGACAGGGATTCATATTTTGCATACCTCTGGGTTTTATATCAATTCATGAATTGATGTCAACTTTACATAGTTAACCAGCCCGTGTCTAAGCGTACAGATGGCCATCATGTCCCCACATTGTCCACGAGTCAAAATACATTATCTCTGTCATACTTCCCTGACCAGTGAGTGACACTGGGTCAGAAGAAAAGGCGTGCAGCCTGACCAGGGGGCTCTCAGTGATCCCGCACGGGCTTGTGTGCACTGCTCCTGCTTCTCCCGGAGGCATGTCTCTCGGCTTCCACATATCACACTTAAAGATTGTTTATGTATTTCATTTAAAAACCATGTGAACTTGCTAGAATGAGCTTCAACTAGGCGGAAAGACTTGACCCTACACAGATTAGTTAGCTCTTTGCTTGCTTTCACAGATGCCCTCCCAAGCAATGGCGTAGAAGTAAAGTAAAAGTCAAGGAACCTGACTTTCTCTTGGCTCTCCACCAGCAGGATCCACCCTAAGCAATGGACCCAGCTACTCCTCACTCTAGACACAAGTACTGACAAATGATCCTTATTTGTTCTGCAGAGCACCATGTAGATTTTGGCTCCAGGCATGACTCTTGCTGGTAGAACAGTTCTGGGTTTTATGTCTTTTTTGTGTACTGTGAAAAACTACCAGAGCACTCATGAGGGTAGCCACACAGGCTTCTTTAGGAACATCACGCATGAATTTCTTACTAAGAAAACTTACAACTGGCTAATTTGAATGGTGATTTTTTTGTAGCCTTGTCTTTTTCTGGCTATCATCCCTTCCATGGTCTCATGTGATGGAATCTTGCTTGTTTCTCTTTGAATCACATGTAGGATATTCTTTTAGAAACCCAAGTGAATGGCTTATGTGCCATAGCCCAATCAGTTACTCACTCCTGGAGAATTTAAGTCCTTCGATACTGTATCATTCTCTTCATGGCAGCTCCCTCAAGAAGGCTAGTGCTCAGGAGTTTTGGGGTTCCTTCTTGCCCTTTCATTGATGGAAATATCACAAGTGCTCAAAAGGAAGTTGGAAAGACTCTAGTCCTACACTCAGACTTGTGACATCTTGAAGACTTTCTTATGGGTATGGAAATTTTTTCCATAAATGTAGACAGGCACAGTCATTTTCAGAAAGCAATGATTCTATTCACCAAATGGTATAAACAGTGCCGTGACTTATATGTAGTGTGTTCAACTTCTCTTTGCCATTATACTACCTTCTCCCTGGAGTTCCCTACTAAGCAAGAGGTAGCCAGGGAGATCGAAGTAGAAAACTAATTTAGTAGTACTTGATAAATCAGCATTACCATTGTATTCGTTTTTAACAAATCACCATAAATTTAGGTAGCAATAACCATTTGTTAGCTCACAATTCTGTAGTTCAGAACAGGCATACTGTGATTGGTTCTCTGCTCAGGATCTCATGAGGTTGAACTGTAGGTATCAAGAGGGCTGCATTTCAGTCTGGAGGCTCTGGAGAAAATTCGACTCCCAAACTCATTCCGGTTGTCAGCTAAATTTGTTTTCTTCCATTTGTAGAACTAAGTCCCCATTTTCTTCCTGGCTACCCACTGGGAGTCACACCCAGTTCCTACAGGCCACCAAGAGGGAGACGGCGGCCCTCTCCATCGCCAAAGCTAGCACAAGAATGGCCCTGTGTCAAAGCCATCTCACCCTGTGGTGCTGATCTTGCCTGTCCCTGACCTCCAGGCCCAGGTTCATGGAATTAGGTGAGGCCCAAAGAAATAAGTGCCTTATTGGGGACTTTGGTTACATCTTTAAAATCTCTTCAAAGTAGTCATCTTTGATTGAATAGGCAAAAGAAGGTAGGCACATATCAGGGGCCAGGAATTTGGAAGGGGTACCTTACAATTCTGCCTGTCACAACTGTGAAAGTTTAAAATGAAATGTGTGGGCAACCCATTCCAATCCCTCCTGTAGCTCAGGAGCTATTCCTGTTCCCTATACCCAATTCCTATTCTCCAATAAATTTTCCCACTTAAAATAATAAAATGAAATCTGTGTGTATCTACATATATACAGTCATTTCTCAGTATCCATGGAAGATTGGTTCCAAGACCCTCCAAGAATAGAAAATATGCTATAAAATAATGTTGTATTTGCATATAACCTATCCACTTCCTCTCATACCCTTTAAATCATCTCTACATTATTTATACTATCTAACACATTGTAAATGCCGTGCAAATAGTACTGTTTAGGGAATAATGACAAGAAAAACTGTCTCTGCATGTTTGGTACAGATATAATTCTTTTTTCCTTCACTGCTGGGGACAAAACCCAAGGCTCATGCATGCTAGGCAAGCACTCTACCACTTTACATCCTCAGCCTTAAATGCATTTTTTTCCAAATATTGTTGGTCTATAGTTGGTTGAATCATTAACGTGGAACCCTTAGGGTCCACACTGCAAATCTTCTCAGGCTTATTTAATTTGATAAATACTGCACCTACTATCCTTCACTTCCCACAAAACTGACTGCTGGGTACCTGGTAGACACTCGCCCCAATTCAGTACATTCTGACTGACCACCTAATGTGTGCAAGTGTTATCCCAACTCTTCTAATGCTCACGCAGAAGGGTCTGGAATGTAATAGGTGAAGGTAAGTGCCTACCAGTTGCTCTACAGTATGGCAGAAAGAGAGGGCGAGAGGGAGATCCTGCCCCGTCAGGGAAATGTAAAAAGCTTCAGGGAGGAGGTAGCGTTTGGTTTTAATCTTGAAGAACAGGTGTGAGGGTAATAAGTAGTCACAGGCTGGTTAGAAGACAATACAGTGGAAGTAATCAAGTCACTGTGTGAGCAACGAAGTTAAAGAGAAAAGACGTGGACCACATCCAGCTTGGTACATCAGTCTGAGTGGCACAGAGAAGCAATTAGACAGTACAGAGGTGTCAAACAGATACCTTAAAATCCAGGCTTAAAAGTAATGCGGAAGCATAGAAAAAGTATAAAAAGAAATAATAAAATTAGTGCTGCCATTTAGAAATGAGTCAGGTGGTGGTGAGGAGGCTGAAGAAGGAAATCCTGAATTCTTGCGACGACAGATGAACAGGCAGGGTTTACCAGCCACCTATGCTACAGGGATGAAAGCCTGTGCTATAGATGAAGGCGTGAACACAGAAATGGAAACCAGTACAGCATGTAGGCTGAAAGACAGCAAGGAGTAGTCACTAATGACTCAGAGTTTTCAGGCCTGTGATTGGACAATGTTCCCTGATTACAGCTTATTATCATCCCAATGACTCAAGAAATCATAGACTTACAGTACTTTGTGGCTAGAAGAGATCTCAGAGGGCCCAGACAGAAGTAACTAAGAACTGGCCAAATTAAACATTTCAAAGGCACTTAGCTGATTAGCAGCTTCACTCAGGCAAGGAAGCCAGGCCTCTTCATTTGCCATCAAACCAACTGCCGGTCCCTGGTAATCACATCAAAGCTCTTTTCGGTTATAAGACAATCCAGGAGCAAAAAGTAAACTGCACAATTCATCACTGAGCACAGGCCAGGATGGGGCTGAGGTGGGCATGGGTGAACAGGAACAATGTCAGAACTAACTTGGATCCACCATTCTCCAAATTTCTGAAGTGTCAGTCTCCAAAATTTTCTGCAAAGGGCTTCCAGAGATAAGCGCCCAAACTGGTGAAGCTTATACACAGATAAATATATCATGGAATGTCTTTTAGAATTTCCACTTAACAGTGGGTTTTCTATTATCTGCCAGAGCTTTCTGATGGTTTGGATGCAAAGGATCAAATTCTCTTTCAGCAGCGGTTCTGAAGTTCAGTGCGGGAAAAGGGCACTGCCAAAAGCCACTTAAGAAATTCTCAAAGCAAAATGCTTCCTATTGACTTAATCACAGCAGAAAGACTGAAGCCAGCACTCTGGTTATTTCTTTGACCCAATTTGAATGTCTTCCAACTGTATCAAACAGTTGCTGAGTGGAGTGGATTCTGGGAGCTATTATTTCTGTGTCTGAAAGCTTACACATCTTAATTCTTCTACAAAAGCACCTCTTCCTTATGAGAACTCCATTCCCACCCCTAGAGCTTTAAGGACTGGACTGGCAAGAAGTCCTTCAATGTTACTGATTGTTTCTTATGCCCTTCATTAAACCTTTTCAAGATAGGAGCCTGGCCCATCTTCACACAGAAAGAGAACAATACACATCTTTGTTAAGAGGGTCATGAGTTGCCCGGTGACCAGCAAGCCAAGATGGCTGATGGTCAGGTGATTTGCCTTGCTCAGCTGAAAAGCCAACTCCCCTGCCCTTGTTGAAGAGGGTTTGAGTAGAGATAAAACAATGGGAAATAAGATTAGGGGAGAAGCGGAAAAATAGAGGAAGCTTACTATCCCTGCCCCTTCTTTACACTTCCGGCACAATATCCTCTGCTCCCTGACAGGGTGACAGATCCCCACTGTAAGGTGCCATCCACTGCAATCCTCCTGAAAGCCATTAAATCACCATGCCAGCCTATTGTGCTATGTTGCTCTGAGGCAAGGGACAGGATGTAAGGCGTAAAAATGATAGTGTGGGCGGAAGACAAAATTCCTCAGCTCGTTCCAAGAACTCATAAACCACAAGGAAAAGTTCCAGATTCCAAGGTCATAAACTTGACAATATTTCTAGTATTAGCTACAAACTACTGAAATTCCTGGGAACTGAATATACTGGACGGCTGCCTGTTAGTTTGTTTAAAAAAATCTACTGCCAGGGAAGTCCCCAGCCTGGCAAACAAAGAGTGACAATTGCTCAATCCCTAGGGATCTCCCACTCCTGGATAACTCCGCCCATGTGGAGTAGAAGGTTTAAACTGTACGTTCCCAGCAGAAATCCTTCCCACTGTGTTCCTTAGGAAAGGCTTTGGAGGACAAGGGACATTTTCCTGTTAGGCAGACTGACCGACCAAATGGCCCTTTCTGCTGCAGGGCAGATGAGGATTGCATTACCTGCCCAGTAGGAGGTGTCCTGGAGCCCCTGACTACTGCATGTTGCTTTATCTTTTCTTCCTTTCTAAATAAGAGTGTTTATTGTAGTTATCCAGGTTTTCCCTTTAATGGTTAAACTTTCCATTTGGTTGTAGATTGCTAAATGGATCCTAAAAAGCACATCTGGATTTGATCAAGAAAATACCATTTCCAAGATGCCTGGTCTTGTTGCCGGATGTAGTAACCAGACTTTCAACTGTCTTTCTCCAGGACTCTAGTTTTTATTGTATGTAGGATAGTTCCATTCTGTGAATGGAGGATGTTTTCCCTATTACAGTGGGCCCAAACTTACAGATGCAATTCGTTCCCCAGTGCTGGTTGTAACTCAAGTTGTCAGTTAAAGGCTCAGGCTCTCCTACACAGCTGTCAAAGTCTCTCTCCCGTATACAGGCGGATCTCAGTGTCCTCAGAGAGACACCAGCCCAAGATTTCTCCATTGACCCCATACAGGAAAGGATGTTGTGATGTTCCTTCCAGAACTCTTTAAGGCTTAAATCCATATCTGAGACCATCTGGAAGCACAAGCGGCCCAGCATTCAGGTTGTAACTCCAAGACTTGGGTCGCAAGTTAAAACTAAAATTCTTGTCATAGCCCACGCTGTTTGTAAGTCAGGCCAGCTGTAACTTGAGGGTCCACCATATTACAATGAGGTACCTCTTAATGACAGAGATACGTTCTGAGAAACATGTCGCTGGTAATTTTGTCATTGTGTAATCACAGAAAATACATAAATAAGATGGCTGCGACATCTCTCAGTGACATAATCTTATGGGACCATTGTTGTTTATGTGGTCGATCATTAACTGAAATGTCATTATGTAGCGTGTGACTGAGTATGTGACTGTGAACACATTACACAGCCAAACAGAAGAAGGCAGTAGATTGCTATAGCTCTGGCTTTGGTGTGTAAACATGTTTTCTTGTGATCTTTTCTTAATAGGCATCTTACTCCCTTCTTAAGCCTGGTGGAGGTACTGATTACACTGTTCTATTCTATTCTTGCCAAAATCCAAGATAGATTGATTATAGTTCTCCACCTCGTATAAGCAGTCACTCCTCCACTGCCTTAACCTAGGAGAAAAGACTCCATTCCTATATTTTAAAAGCAACCTTTCTGTCCCCACTAAAGTTGTTCAGCCAAAGAAGCTGAGGCCTGCACGACCTGCAGTAGAAAAGAGAAGACGCCAACTCACAAAGAAAGCAGAAACAAGAAGCAGACAGAAAGGAAGAGCCCAGTCACAGTGCTGAGATCCCAGTCCCAGTCCCTGGAGGCCCGGCAGTACAGGGATCTGTATAATTCTGTAAGTCCCCCCACGCTTTTCAACTATGACTTGTAGCTTAAGATAGTAAGAGTTAGGTTTTTGTCACCTGTGACAATTTAAAAAGAGACTCAACATAAACTTGCTGCTGCAGGTTGAACAAGGGAGATATAAGAGAACATTCATAGGCAGAAAATAGTTTTACCTGTCACCTGGGCCAGAACTGCACAGGAGTATCTTCTCACCTGCAAAGGAAAACAGCAGCACATCAGGTGGCACATAGTGTCCACCTCAATGATATAATTCGGAGGCCAAAGCCTTCTGAGACTCAAATTTAACATCTTAACTTGAATTTAACGGAAGCTTTGAAATCCATCCAGCTCTAACAGCTTACAGTTCACCTATATATCACAGGTGTTCAAGGGTCTGGCACGAGTAACAGGTACAGAGATGACCCTAGAGATCACTTCCATAGGTTTCCAGTAGATCGCAGAAGCCACATACCATGGGTAAACAACAGAATAGCAAGAGCTTCCTTCCCCATCGCCCGTTCTGAGCAACTAGCACTGATGGCCTAGAGAACTATGGTGAAAAAGATTCCGCAGTGACATCTAGGTTCCAGAAGAAGCGGTGAAGCACATTACAGGCAAGTTTATTCACCTCTCTGGATGATACCCGGCATACTATCATCCACAAACCAGGATAAACGCAAGAGGAACATTCAGCGGCAGAGGCGCCTGCCTGGCAAGTGCAAGGTCCTGCGTTTGACTCCCGGTACCCACCCCAAAAAAAATTTAAAAAGAGAAAACTATAAATACAGAGATTAGGAATGGAGTGAAGGATGTGTTTCAAGGCACTGGAGAGCAAAGGGACCTCAAATTGCAAGGTGGTTACTAGGGAACTGAATATATTAAAGCAGAGAAACAGGGGCCTGCTGAAGCAGGAAGCTCATTAAACTGAAGTGCCTTGATGAGATGTGCATTTTACAAAACTCATCCTGACAACAGCATAGAGCTAAGAGATGGGCAGAAATAAGAGGCAGATGAGCTAGAATACTGATGTTTAGAGAACAGGTGTCAAAGGCGGAGCAACACTGGTGAAAAAATAAAAGAAGGCATATTTTAAGTAGCAGAAAGGTGATAGAACTGATACAATGTACGATGGATTGGACAAGAAGGTAAGAAAAAGGGAGGAGATAAGAATCATTCCCAGCTTTCTCTCTTAGCTACTAGAAGCAAAGTGATGCTACCTACTAGGACGAGTACACAGAAGGAAAAACAAAACGGGAGAGCTGGGAGGCTCATGCGTCCTAATTTTAAAATGTATACATATCTACAGTAGTCAAAACAGTGTGTTGCTAGATGCACTGGTGCGCACCTGTAATCCCAGCTATTTGAGAGGCTGAGGCAGGAAGACTATGAGTTCAGTGCTGGCCTAGACAATGTAGCAAGACTCCATCTCAAAAACAAAACAAAAAGCCGTGCAGCGCTCGCATAAAGACAGGCATGTAAATCAATGAAATAGAATACAGAGCCCAGAAGTGAACGCTTGAATTCAACAAGTAAAAGTGTTTACAAGAAGACTTAGTATTGGAAAAGTGCATATTCAAATTTTTTAAAAAGTCAAACCCTTACCTAACACTGTGTACAAAATTAATTCAAAATGAATCAGAGACCTAAATGTAAAACTTAAAACTATAGAACTCTTAGGAGACAATATGGAGGAAACTTTTCATGAAATCAGATTTGTCAGTGATTTGTTGAACATGACTACAAGGCACAGGAAGCAAAAGGAAAAACAGACAAATTGTACTTCACCAAAACTAAAAACCTTTGTGCATCAAAGAACCCTATCAGAGTAAAAAATGCAACTCACAGAAAGGAAGACAATGTGTACAAATTTCAAATCTCATTAGGGGCTACTGTCCAGGATACATAGAGAACTCCTAAAAAATCACTGACAAGAAAGCGAACAACTCAATTTAAAAATGAGTAAAGGACCTGAAAAAATATATATATATTTTTCCAAAGAAGAGATACAAATGGCCAAAAAGCACATGAAAAGATGCCTGATATCACTAATCATTAAAGAAATGCAAGCCAAAACCACAGTGAGATGCCACCTCGCACCCACTAGGATATCTATTATTTTAAAAGTCCATGGTAAAGTTATGGGCTTTACCTCCTCAATTCTTAATCCCTACATTAGAGTCACAAAGCACTGCCAACCTCTCTGCTCCATGGACATAGTCTTGAAAGTAACCACTGGTTTTAATTTCAAGCATGTCAATGGCACATTAAACCTGTATCCTATGCAATATTTAATAATGTCTGCATTAAATATGTCATGAGCCTCACAAGTGAGATGGTTTCGTACTTTTGCCTCAAATGTGTCAGTCAAGATGTTTCATTAGTATTAAAGTAAGTTTTCCAATTTCCATTACCAACCCATATGAATTTACACTAAGGTTAGACTGCGCCCAGGTGAACTATCACAAAGTTCCTCCAAAATATTTTCTATCCCAAACTGGCTGATGTGGGTTTAGCTATTTTGCTTGCCTAGCTTGTTATATTTTTCTAACGAATACTGACGTCTTGGTCTCATGAAAGAACCAACGCTTGAAAAGCACAGTCCTTCTGAGGACAAAAGAAGGAAGAGTGGGGCCTAGGACACAGCCAAAGACGTGTGCTCATCTGCCCTTCCCACCTGCTCCCCAGGTGCAGGGGCGCAGGGGAGCTGACAGGAGGGTTTATCCAGATGTCCCTTTCCACAAAAACAAAACAGGTTGTTCCTTTCCAGCTCAGGTTTCAGCAGTGGGACAGAATGAAGGGCACGTGTGAAGCTTAAGAAGAACCCAAACCACATCAGTGCAAATGCAGATCCATCAAGTTCCTGGTAAGGATATAAGGGTTTCATCTGCCCATTCTTTAAACAGACAAAGCATTCGACCTAAGAGTCAAGAACACATTCCGGCGGTTACTACATGCAATGTGCATCTCAAAAACTAGGAAAACATGTGTTCAAACATTTAAATTTCATACAGAGAAGAAAATACCGAGTTCATAAGAGCATTTAAAGAACTATACCTCATTCCATTCACGTGTGATTCGTAATACAATATGGTAATCATTCCCTGTTTTCAAGGGTGCATTATAATATTTCCCATAGTATAGCCTATCTCCAATAGATATCTCCATGGTATCATCTGCAACATCTTTGGCCAGTAGCTCTGCTGCCACATATCCATCAGTATCGGAGGCATTGCTAAAGAATGAGGCGGCCCGTTCATAATCACAGGAAAAAATGCTTTGGAGGGCCAGTGGAAGCACCAATACTTGATATGAACTGGAAGGAAAAAGAAAAATGTCTTATCAGATCTTTGTGTGGAGGATTCATTCATTTATTCATGTGTACTGAGCTCCTATTCTGATATAAGCACTTTTCAAAGGCACTGGGGACCCAACACTGGACAAGCAAAAGTCCTGGCCCACATGGCATTTACCATCTGACAGTTCCAACAGTCATGAAACTCCAAATCAACCCAGGATGCCAAAGCAGACGACACTGGTGAGTGATTCTGCAAGTTCTCGCAACACAGAGCTGCCTTCTTAGCTAGGAGAAGTTGTTGCATGTACTGCTGCCCTGTGTGTCTGTCATATGGCTGATCTAATCAGTGATTTTCACGTGGGGAAGCAAAGCCAAGCAGTGGAAAGGTTTTAGCAGTCACATGGAGGCCAACTGCCTACAATAGTTAGTGTACTAAGTCTGAAAAAGTCTCCAGGCCATCATGTGGCAACTTGAAACAGAACTCATGTGATTTACATTTCCCCGCAGTTCATAGTCTGACACCAAAGTTCATGTGAAATCAACACGAAGCCGGGGTGCAAAGTCACCGTGAGCTAATCTAGGCTGACAAGATTTTAAAACAGCCAGAAATGCAAAATGATACATGCATATTGTGAAACTGTGCCCTAAATGTAGGCATCAGGAGTCATCTTGTCAGGTATTTTATTATTATTTGTTCCATCAACTAGCCTACCAGTGAAAGGACGTGCAGGAATAAAGTGTGCTGAGAATGAGTCATGCCTTCCTTTTCAGCCCCATCAATTCAGTCTTTATCTCCGGCCTCCGGTATAGTAAATATTTGATCATCTGCTATCTCTAGCTTACTTGATAACAAGAGTTTGAATTACTCACTCTTGTATATTTTCAAATCCTTATAGATTTCTTTGGCTATGATTATCCCCTCATTAAGGTTTCTCCAGCTAAATGCTCAGTAAAGAGGAAAAGCTTGCACTAACACCAAATACGATTAATTTCCAAAACTCCTTAAGCCACATAATACTATTTCACCACCAAATCTGCATTTCTGTTCCACATTCCTAATGCCCAGGTTCTCCTACTTCCTATAAGCTCATGAGTCACTAGGTTTAAAAAGAGAGCCCTCGGGGCTGGGGATATAGCTCAGTGGCATAAGCACTTGCCTGGCAAGTGCAAGGTCCTGAGATCATTTCCCAGTAACCCCCCCAAAATAAAAAATAAATTAAAAAGAGAACACTCGCCCACAGTAGGTGTTGTATTTAGAAAGTCTCCAGCCACCTACCAGGCTCCCAAACACCCTAGGTATCCTGAAGGCCCTGATTCCATGAATCCTGGCTCACGTTCAGTAAAGGAATTTCTACAAGAGACAAGTAAAAACAGCAGGGTAGTAAGTGGTCACCACCAGTAAACCATTCCTTTACTGGGCACTCACCGCCTACAGGGAGCACCTGTAACAAAAACTCTCTTTGGGGCTTTAGAAGACAGCCCAGTGAATCGTGGACCAGTGCAAAAGTAGCAACTCCATGCTGGCCATAAACACAGCTTTAAATCGCTCCCACCTTTCCGTGTATAGGTGGTGGGGGTAATGCACAAGTTCAAGGCTCACTTTTACCCATTTGGCACTGTACACTGCCCCCTAGAGGCGTCATTCACAGAGCACACAGCAACTCCCTATTTAGCCTGATAATTACAGTATAGAAATTTCCCAGTCCTGTCTCTCAACTCCTGAGTCAAAATCTCCAGGACGAGAGTTGGCAATGTGTACTGTTAGTAATCAGCAAGCTCAGGAAGAGACATTTGGTGCCTGGGCCCTTGCTCTATGACATGGCCCAAACCACTGCCCCCAAATGATGCACAATAGAGGCTGAGGCCTGACAAAGCTGCTACCTCCATCTCATACCAGATAGGCAGGCTGAGGAAATCACTTCACTTGCCCGCTGGTAATGAGGCCCCATGACATAGGGAAGCTGTTGCGGCAGTATGGAACCCGACTGTTCTAGAAGGAGTTCTCCTCTCTTTCTCACCACCACCCTCCCCTGGTGATTCACAGGTCTCCACTTCCTGTTTTGGAGGCACTGGCTGACACACAGGCACAGAGATAGGCTGTCATTTGGCTTTTCTTTCTGCCTTACGTCATCATCTGGCTTAAGTATCACATTTGCTCTTGCACATTCTCTCTGGCGGTGATGTCACAGCTTCTGTCCTCCTCCAGCAACAGCATTACACAGCCTTCCAGCAACTTGTCAGGAACCAAGAAACAGAGCCACTTGAGCAATGTCTAACCCTGGACTTAAACTAATACGAAAGCAGGGAGACTCCAAGGGTTACGATAGACACACAGGCTTTCTTTTTCATAATTCTGTAATAGCTCGTATTTATTTCTACCTGGAATGCACTGAGAGATCACTCAAGAGTCCAAAGAGACATAAGGTCTGTAGGTCAAGCCATGCACACTGTCATCTCCTTGACCGGGCACTGCGGGCACTTTCTTCTCTCCAGGCCACATTTATCTTCCTCTTTTTAAAAAAGAGACTGATTCTATAGTCCTAAACCAACCATGACCTTTGTAAATACATGCAAAACTGGACACAATATAGTCCTCCAGCAGACTAATCCCATCTGTCCTAATACCATCTGGAATCCCAGCAGCAGTCCCTAACTACATAGTATCTTGCCCATAACTCAATACAGGAATGGATAAAAAGAATTATCCACATGACCTTTTCAGAAACCACTCCACACAGCACCAAGATCTGCCTTCCATAAAGAGCAGCATATTCTGTCTCCAGTACATGAAATGATGCTCTTGCTGTACCATGAGTGGAATGCAAAGGACAACACCTGATGCTGTCACCCGCGTTTGTCAATGCTCAAAGGAACAGATTTAATTTCTTGGGCTTAACTTGCAAAATTCTTGTCTCTGGCCCCTTAGAAGTCTCTTTCTTCCTCTGGAAGAATGTTGTTGGGTTTAAAGACCCAGGCTATAGTGAAGCAGATTTTAAAAAAAGAGGTCCTGCTGCACTGCCCCAAATATTCAGGTACAGCCACCCACACACAAGTCTTCTCACCCAACCAAAGTTTCCAACAGCCTATGGGAATCACTGGACAACTACAGCCACTGACCTAATAGGTCCATCTCTCTCCTTTGCTTTCCTCAGCTTGAGGTGTGGTAGATGTCCTCTCTGCACTGTGAAAGATTCTACTTCTGGAACAGGAGGCTCTGAAAACATAAAGAAGAAAAGGAAAGAGGTATGATCAGAAAAAGTAAAAAAGTACAAAGAAATTCATCTTTCTGGAGGCCATTAAAATTTTAATATAAAAAGTAATGAGCATATTTTGATAGAACCTACAACACGGGTAAACCTTGAAAATAATAATGCTAAGTGAAATAACCAGGCCCCCCCAAAATAATATCTGACTCCACTTTTAGCAAATATCTAAATTAGGTATAAATTCAGACAGTCAGTAATACAGTATGTTACAGGCTGCCAGGGATTCAGGGTGTGGGTGGGAGAGGAAACCCATTGCCTAATGATCACAAGTTCTGTTTGGGGTGATAAAAAGATTTAGATATAGTGGTGATGGTTGCATGATACTGTAAATGTATGTAATGCTCATGAATTGAATTAAACAATTTAAAACAGTTCATATGGTACATTTTCCCACAGTGAAAAGAAGAGATGAGCACACCCTAGCATTGACAGAGGACAGATACTGCAGGCTTGGCAGTTTGCGTAGTGAGGAGCTTCTGACTTGATAGGTGCTATGGTTTAGATATGGTTTATGTGTGTCCCCCAAAGGCTTGTGTTTTGAGTCCAATGTAGCAGTGAGAGGTGGTGGAACCTTTAAGAGGCGGGGCTTAGTGGAAGGTAATTGGGTCATTGGGAGTGACTTTTGCCATAAGTCTATAAAACTCAAAACATACAATAGATATTATGAAAGGGAAAGAAATTGCTCAAAGAAAGGAATAACTGGGGTGAGGGAAAGAAGAAAAAGAAAGAAGGTAAAAAATATATATAGATAGCTGGGATAACTATACTGCTGATGTCTAGTGGTTTATTGAAAGGAACAGTTAATGCTTAATTTTTTTTATTTTGACCAATTTTGCATGCTTCTATCTGGTAATCTGAGCAACTGATTTGAAAACAACAATACACAATATAACAACCACTGGTGAATTCCTTCCATCTTGTCTAGTGAAACTCTGTATCGTCTCTAATTTTTTTTTAATTCTTTTTATTCTCTTTAATGGTTTGATCAATCTTGCATTCTTATATCTGAGCAACTTTGTTGGAGATAACAATAAGTAATATAACAACACTGTTAATTCCTATCATTTTGTTTTGAAACCCTGTATCATTTTTAATGTTTTTGCTTTGTTTTGTTTTTGTCTGTGATGTTGGTATTTTGCTATTGTTCTTTTTTTACTATTCTCTTTAAAATAAAAAAAATTTTAATTTTTAAAAAGAACAAGACTAGACTCACCTCATCTCTGCTTCCTGTCTTACCATGTGGCCTCTTCCACATGCACTTCATCATGATACCTTCTGCCACAGGGCTCTTACCACAGGCTCTTACCACTGATGGGACAGTCTGATCTTAGGAACCTTTCAGTTTTCAAAACTGTGAGCTAAATAAGCCTCTTTTTTTTATAAATTACCTAGCTTTGGGTATTTAGTCATAACAATGACAAACAGACTAATACAGTGGGGGAAACCAGCATATCAGCCAGTGTTCTCCATTCCTATTTTGTACTCCTTTAAACCAGATTTCCCAAATGGGTCTTTGATTGGGAAGGAAGTACTGTATATCGACTGGCTAACACCAGTGTTCCAACATGTCATTAAAAGTTACAATCAGGCTGTCAGTGCACCAGCCGCCAGCCGCCTATGAGTAACACGGGGAAGCTGTACTGGGTACTAACCATACACACTAGATATGTCCTGTATTTGCCTTTCATCATTTAATCCCACAATGCTTCCAAGTGGATGTTACTTATGGAAGCAATCGTTTTCTCCCTCTCTTGGTGTTCCTACCTTAGCCCATGTGGTAGAAATTTTTTTTCTCTCCAAAGTACTGGGAAAAGACTTCCACCTCCCTTCTGTCTGTATGATTTGCGGGAGTACTACAGTTTGACCATTGACCCCATGTGTTCCCAACTTTTGTTTCTTTTACTTTTTTATGGGTCAGAGCCATCCTGAACACAGGGCAGATGTTTCCACCTCCTGTTCCCATCGTCCACACATTAAGCAAACCCGAGTCAAGGCTAAATGTGAAGCCAGGTCTACATTTTCCCAATAGAGCAACATTCCCACAGGTGGGGTGCAAGTTTAGATGTGGGAGGAAATTCCAGGAAGCTTTATTTTGGCTTCAGGCCCAAGCCAGCTTCACCAGCAACAAAACTGATAACTGGATTCCTATCTTACTTTTGTTTATATGTTTTTATTCTTCCCCTAAACTCAGAGGTGGAACAATTATGATTAATACTTTTGAAATTTTAATTTTATAGATGAGGAAACTGACCCGTGGGAGACGGAGTTACTTGCCCAGCAGCACACACAATGTTACAGAGTGAGGATCTGAACCTATTCTCTGCTTTGTCTCTCTCTTGCTTGCCTTGGGGTTTCTGGCTCCACCTATTTGATCCAGCAGGCTTTCATCACCTTTGAGTGAACTAATAAAATCTACTTCTGATACACAGAATCTGCAAAGACTTTACTAACAAATCGACCCAGGAGAAGAATCCATTGGTACAGTTACTGTGGAATCAGAGATCTACCCAGTGTGGCTCATGTCAGGATCTAGACCATAGTTAAGACAAAGAAATAATTATTATAAGATAGTTGTTAAGACCAAAGGTTTGGGGTTAGTATCCTGCCTCTGCCATTTGCTTCCAGCTGCCTCATCTCTAAAATGGGACTAGAAAGAATCCTTACCTCTTAGGCCTGTTGAAGGGATTACAGTGTCCATTAATAATAATTCACAATAACAGATGCACACAGAAAAGAACAGAGCCCAAGTACAGCACCCTCGGCGCACGCCCGTCATCTTTGTAGTTCATTTGCGCTGCATCTACTGGTCACCAACTCTATACTGGGAACTTTGCTCCTGCTGGTTCATCAAGTCCTCACAGCAGCTCTGTGCAGAAATCATCTCTATTTGATCAATAAGGAAATCGAAGCTCAGGCCAGTTCAGTCACACCACTCATTACAAAGGAGTCAGGGCGGGACCCATGTTAATTTGACCCCAGAGTCAGATAATGCTCAACAGGCAACAGGGCTAGAAGAACCATCTCAGGCTGGATCTTGCCACCCTCCGAGCAAGATCCTTTCCTGGACTTTCCAGTTCTGGAGTCCAACAAATTCTGCGTGCTTAAACTGCTTTAAGCTAGATTTCTGCCATTTGCAGCCCCCAAAGCCCTGGCGAATTATAGCATGCATCTAGCACCCTGATATTTTGCTGAAGGGCAGAGCACACAGCTGTGTGCCTGAAGAAACGCTGGCACTGGGCCAGGTGGGAGCAGTTCCTGTGCATCTGCATGAGAACGGCTGCGAATCCCAGGCACGGCTCCAAACCCTTGGGAGGCACACACAGTAAGGACAACAGGGAAAATGACCCTAGTTAGACCCTTGTCTGGGCCACCTCTTCTTTAAGGACTATCACTGCATCAACTCAGTGGGACATGACAGTAAAGGAGGACATGGAGGGAGAGAAAAAAATAAAAAATAGATGTGAATGCCTTCCCACTGTCACCCAACCCCCAAGCCCTGCCACCGTGAAATTAAGATCTAGGAGGCTGAAAGAGACACTCACGACTCTATTTATTGGATTAGGAAATAGCTCTGGTGGGCCGGGAAGATAGCTCAGTGGCACAGCGCCTGCCTGGCAAGCGGGAGAGGTCAAGTTTGATTCCCGGTGCCAAAGAAATAAAAGAGGAAATAGCTCGGGTAGAATCCCTCAATCACAACATACAATAAAAACTTAGACTGCCTGGGACTTTGGGGTTTTAAAGTTCTGTGACATGTGTTTCTCCTATATCTGCCCTCAGCACACTCTTCTCAGTCTCCTCTATGCTCCAGGCTCTGTGCCGAGCAGGGGGAGATGGGGAGGGGGTGGTACTTGGTTTCTAGGAGCGGAGCACCTAATAGGGAAAGTAGTTTTGTAACAGCAAGTGCTTGGAGCTATGATAAAGTTGCACACAGAGCGCTCTGGGACGCGGAGAGAAACACCTGCCCCGGGACAGCCGGCGGAAGCCATGAAACAGAAACAGGCCCGTGCAGACGCACAAGATGAAAAGAGAGAAACGATGAAACCGCAGGTAGTTCAGGACCTCGAGGCTGAGTTCTAGCAGTGCAGAAGTGGGTGATAAGGTCAGACGGTTAGGTGTAGGCCACATCCGTGTCCAGGAAATAATAAGGAGCCATTTGAAGATTTTTAGCAGATTTGTTTCAGAAATACAATTTATAGAGTTGACTGGAAGAGGAACGGAGAAAGGCAAAAGCGTAGGTTGCCCTATAATCTACCCCAGAAGTGTCTGAGGTCTGAAGCAAGCGACAGCACTGAGAATGGAGGAGGGTGTGAGAGGCACTCCAGGAAGAGGAGGGATGGAATGTGGTGGGAGGAAGCCACCGCGTCAGTGACCATGTCCCTGGTCAAGTCTGGAGGGAAGTTGGGAAGCAGCTCACTTTTGGAACTGCTTGAGAAGGAAGCACACATGGAACTATCTGGAAAAGAGCAAAGTGCCCAGGTCTAGGACCTGGTATCAAACTGGAGACGACACGGAGTCTGTCATGAGGAGAGGTGGACATGGTTCCCAGGGGGACTGGCTAAAAGGAGAGGGGTAAAGATGGATGAGGAGAAAACCAGGCACAAGAGGAAGAGAACCCAACAGCTTCTAAGGTGTTAAATGCAGAATTTCTTGGCCTCTGATGTAGCTCCGTGGTAGCCTAGCATGCCTAAGACCCTAAGCTGAATCCCCAACACTGCAAATCAATTAACCAACCTACCAGTCAATCTAGAATTTGTTCCAAAGTCACCCAGCCACGGTGACACAAACCATGTGTTTCATTTATCACAGGACTGGCAGAAACTCAGAGCAGAAGGTAGGGGTCACCTGGAACAGCTCCTGCTAGAGTAAAGGCCTCACCTAACATCTTTATTGAAGGTCTGTGCCAGTTTCAGGAGTCCAGAAAGAAATCCCATGCTGCATGTGAAGAAGA